TTTGATAATTGTAAGTAGATGGAAAACCTACAAATGGGTGATTACTCTCATATTATCAAATTGGTTTAAGAATATTATCTGCATTTCCTCAGCTTCCTTAATCATCCTTTCAAGTGATACAATTGATAGACGTCTAACTATCCTTAAACACGCTTACAGCGGGTTATTATATCAAAATTGGTATCATAAAGAGGCAGGAGTATCCTGCATTTTACATAAGACCAGATAATTATAAACGCATACATTGATATATACTACCAATGATGGTTATTATTTAACCCACATTGTTTTGCTAACAAGTCCGATACCTAAAGAGTGAGAGCGTTAATTAACTCAGCTCCGTAATACTGAGAAACATCTTTGATATCTGATACCTGCTATTAGGGTTTTTTCAAGCTCACGTGGTTAATACGATAATCCTAGGTTACAATAAATCGGGCCTTAAAGTCTTCGTTCACAGGATTCGTTATAACAAACTGTAAATCAATATATTCACTGGTAGACATGTTTTTAATACAGCAAAATAATGAACAACAGTCTGCCAGGACAGAGCCTCTTACATGAAGGTTATGGTAAGTGACATCTCATCTTTATTTTTGTATTAAACATTGCAGGCCAATCTATATGTACAATATATCTGGAAATTTACTGACACACTCAATCATACATTTTATACTCTATAAGAATAATTGAAGCAATTAATTAAATTAATAGTAAGACATAAAAACCTTTTCTTTTATACAAAGCCCATATGGCCTAATATCTTTCCCTTCCTTGCAAATCCAATACTCGCCATTTCTAGTTTTTCTTGCCTTAATCTTGATTACATTTTTCGGATTTACTCGATTTTGAATCACTATCACATATATCTTGCCCTCAAACTCAAATTCCGTTGCATAACTTTCGGCTACATTAATGTCAGGTGTTGAGTAAATGCCGCGCCCAAAAGCCTGACGTTGTGCCTTGCTCTCCAAATATCCTTCTTCGGCAATTGATCTTGCATTATCCTCAGTGGTTCCATGGTAAGACACCGGCCAGGCTGTCTTACCAGCACCAAGCCAAGTATCATCACCATTGTCGTATCTTCCAGCGACCTTTAAAGCAAAACGTTGCCATCCGCACGGTCTTCGATACCGAGCTTTTCCTCGCATAAACATCGCCCCAATGTCCTTAATGTGTGTAAAATCATAATCATATCTCGGGTCCAGAGCACTTGAGGGTAAATAACTGAGCACATATCCTCCACCACCAGGAAGACGTAAAATCAAATATAGTGTGTTCTCCCTTTGAATGTTGTAATATGCGAGCGTGTGACTGCCGTCCTCCAGCTGTATACCGGCAAAAACAAGTCTCTGTCGGTCTGGCGGAATGTCGGCTTTGTCTTGTATCATTTGTTTTACGTTGTCTATGGTATCACTTGCTTGGTATTTGAAAGAATAAGTGGACCCAGTAAGAGTCTTGACGAAAATCTGCCCACTTTTGAGCTCATCAGAATCGACATCCCCACCGATAAGGTTAGCTTGATAAGGCGAGCCCAAATCAACTTGCAACTCATACATGTTTTGTCTGGCTTGTACGTTTTTGAACGTTTGGTCATTGCTAGACTTTACTGAGTCATCATCATCATCATCGTTGATTCGATAAAACGAGTTCAAGTCGACTTGCTTATACCAAGCTTGTTCTCGAACTTTCTTTTCTGATACGAATTTACGGGTTCCTATCACAGAAAGTGCCGAATTAAGAAGATCAACGATAAGAGAGAGCATGTTAGCGAATTGACAAGATGGATCAGAGTATCGACTGCAGAAAAGCTATTATTATTATCAATTGTTACGTAGCGGCTGTCTTTTTTGTATTTTTACTATAATCGGCTTTATTTTAAGCACATATTTGTGACTTTTAAGGGGATCTTTGTTTGTATCACTACTGTGTATGTTGTGTTGTACTTCAGTTGGACTGAGACAATTACCGGTTGAGGACCATTAGTATTAGACTGTCTCATTAGACTGTCTCATTAGACTGTCTCAGTTGAGAACCAGACTGTTTCATTAGACTGTCTCAGTTGAAAACCATCTATCTACAAGTAACTGTAATTCGTCGAAACAGGCGTAATAAGCAAAGACATTGTATTTGCTAACAAGACATCCATTCACAAGACATTTCAGAATAACTGCATGCATACTAATATTGTACAGCGATACAAATGCATGTTTAAACGAGCATATCTAGAATGACTTTTATTTGTATATAGTATCGGGTGATGCATTAAAGTAATGCTTATTAGACTTGTTATGGGAGAGTGAATATGCCAAAACTGCAATAACGAAATTTGCTTGTATATTTCGAACAAACAAAATACAACTTTTGATTGGCCCATTTTGGAGTAAAGACATTTTCGCGATAGACTAAAATAGTGATAAATCGACTCGAAGAGTTGGTTCAAGAAACAGGGCTCGTGATACATTCTCTGAATGGATAATAGTCTTGTTAGCAAATACAATGTCGTCGCTTATTACGCCTGTTTCGACGATCATTCAATTGGATAATGGCATGTGCAGTGAAGCTTTGTAGATATAGAGTTCCATTTACTCTCTTTATTGATTCGATTACGAACGTAATATCTTACTTTTAGATCAGTAATATTAATAGTTACTGGACTTGAGCAAATTTGTACATATTGGCAATGGCCTCTTGGTATACGATATAATGCTGCACGCCAGGTTCTGCTGAAGATTCGATAACCGAAACTTTGCAAGGAGATTAGTAATCATAATGACATAACATCGTCAATTTATATTGTAAGTTGCTCTTATTCTCGTAAATAACACAAGGATTAATTTTTTAGCCGTAATTTCTCCTCAATTACTTGACGCCAATATTTATTGCCGAGTGAAAGTTATAGCAAACGCTCGCTATTAATATCTAATCAGACTGCATTGATCGAGAATTTTTATGGTAGCTGATATGAATATAATAAGGCAACCAGACAATTTAAACAAACAAGCAAACTTCATAGCCATTAAGACGCGATACTCAGCAACATAAATTGCAGTTGTCAAAAACCTTTGCCGAGAAAAAGAATTGTACGGAATAAGTAGTGCGGTTTTTGGAGTGCAGTGTAACACAAAATATTCTCACTTTTTATGTCGTCGGGTTGTTAGTTCTAAGGGTCAAGGATATGCATAATTCAGCAATTGACAACTTGATCACAGCTAGTAAACTTGGATGAATCCTTATTTGCAAATGACCAACATAGAGAGTCAAATTGACACGTCCGCTATGCTACCCGCTTTATGATGGTACATTTAATGAAACGCTAATAACGCTAGTATCACTTGGTGAGTGAGTTTGCTAGAATATACTCACTTCCGACACATGAGTACAACAATGACGTTAGTCAGTTTAGGCGGTATCCACATGGCTTAAGTATCGCAACAGACTCATAAAGATTTTACCGAGTATGACGATGGTTGCTGATGAACGCTTTTACCATTGTTACTCTCCTCTTGATATGGATTTTGCTCCGCATGTGGAATATTCCGATGTAGTCCGTGTGGTGCATTTGCGGGCATAAACAATTATCCAATGGATGGACTAGCAACAATAAACAACTCGACCGGTTTATTAAGAAATCTCAATTTAAACAAACTTAGCAAATCAAGCCTATTTGGAATGGATTCCATTTGACTACATGTATATTGATGCTAGAACATGGCAATCTTCATGGTGGAAACATAATGTTTAAGACGTCATCTTATGATGACAATGTTTCAAGTGCATTCATGTGTGGTCTTCGTCTCTCAGCTAATGGTGAAGTACCTTTCAGAAACCGATTATTTAATAGCGACTTAGTACGCGATATTAAGAGTGGACGCGTGACCTGCCATGCCAGAATCAGCACCAGAGGCATACAAGAAACTTGCTGAGCATTGTTGTGATGCCGGTACTAACAAGCGTCCAGACGCAAATACACTTTGGCAAGCTTACTAGAAGCTAAGTCTGACGCTAGCATGTATATGGGATATACACATACACGTCGAAAATATGTTAGCTTATTTTTTAACAAGAATGCACTCATTACCGCCGCAATTGGTATACTACAGTCAAAATTGCATATAACGATACCTGTATATAACGACAACTGATCTAACGATGAAATTTGTCATTACCAAAACATTCTTATTTAATTTCACCTGGTTATACCGATCTTTATTATTAAAACCTCGTTATTACGTATAACGATACGTATACGATGTACCAACTATTGTAGAAATATATTTTTATACCGATATGTTATACTGTATAACAATATTTATTTCCCGAATTTCAGATTTTCAATTTCTAATACTAAACAATGTTACTCAATAAACAAACTACCAGCGAAAACACTCAATATCCAACAAAACATTTGAGAGCACGCTTGACCTTTGCACAAAAAAGAATGTGTGTTAAAATCTCCAAACCTTTCAGGGAGAGCTTGCCGAAGAGTATGGGATTAAACAATTACAATTTCTGATAGACGGTTTATATTGTATACCGGATTTTTTTTTTCGTAACTATTATGTTATTGCTATAAATAGAATTCCTGGTATTAACGATAATTCGCTATAACGATGAAAATGTGACCTAACGGAAGTATCGTTATATCCAGTTTTGACTGTAGTACATAACAACTCAAGCAATAATTTGAGTCACGTAGTTTAAACCCTTTTTGTTTGTCGGTCAACTATAATTCTACCTACTGAATGATTTGATTTACCTTGATTATTATCCCCTGATTCGTGTTTCCTAGTACGCAGATACGTCATCGACTCTGTTTATCACAGAAATATAATTACTGCATATTTATGAGAATAAGATAGATTAAGATGGGTGCAACATTTATGAGATCAAACTTGTTTGAGAAATGTCTCAAGAATTAGAATCAAGCTGCGGATCCCAATTTTTCGCAAAGTTAAAACATGTTACAAAAATCTTTTGCAACCATGATTATAATTTCCTCCAAATAAAGCAACTTTTATTAGAAATAATAAGCAAACATGACAAGCAGACGCTTTGAATGAACGAGAAAACTTCCTATGACCGGTACGCGCCATAACTAAATATCAAGCAAGAAGAGAATTACATGAATAAATATGTTGAACCAATTTACGGTTTGAAGAATAGTTATGAAACACGTATTAGTATGACAGTTTATGACCATATCTTTTCTTTTATACAAATTCCGTACGGCCTAACGTCTTCTCCATCCTTGGAAATCCAATACTCGCCAACTCCAGTTCTCGTCGCCTTAATCTTGACCAAACCTTTTGGATTTACTCGATTTTGGATCACTATCACGTATGTCCTCCCGGCAAACTCAAATTCCGTTGCATAACGTTCGGCTACGCGAACATCAGGCGTTGAATAAATACCCCGTCCAAAAGCAAAACGTTTTCCCTTACTCAACAAATATCCTTCTTCGGAAATTGATCTCGTATTATGCTTGGCGGTACCATGATAAGACACTGGCCAAGCTGAATCACCAGTACCAAGCCAAGTATCATCACCATTGTCATATCTTCCAGAGACCTTTAAAGCAAAACGTTGCCATCCACACGGTCTTCGATACCGAGCTTTTCCTCGCATAAACACATAAACATCACCCCAATATCCTTAATGTGTGTAAAATCGTAATCGTATCTCGGGTGCAAAGCACTTGAGGGTAAATAACTGATCACATATTCTCCACCACGAAGACGTATAATCATATGTATTGTACTCTCCTTTTGAATGTTATAACTTGCGAGCGTAAAATCATCTCCCAGTTGTTTGCCTGCAAAAATAAGTCTCATTTGGTCTGGTGGAATACCCTCTTTGTTCTGAATTAATTCTTTTAGCTTGCCTATGGTATCACTTGCTTGGCATTCCAAAGTTATAGTTTTCCCAGTAAGACTTTTAACGAAAAGCTGCATTCCTCGCCTGATTTGCAAATTTTGATTATTAGTAACGCTTGGGTTGATGATGGAACCGATATCACCACCGACAAGGTTAATTTGATGAAGTGCGCCCAAGTTGACTCGCTGATATGTGGCTGTATTTTTGGATGTCTTGTCGGAATTGACATCACCGACACGGTTAACTTGATGAAACGAGTTCATGTCGACTTTCTTGTAAGAAGCATTGTAGCTGGTTTGTTCCTGAAACTCCTTTCTGATACGAATTTATGGGTTCCCATCATGGCAGAAAGTGCCGAATTAAGAAGATCGATGTTGAGAGAAGGCATGGTTAAAAAGGCTAAAAGTGTCGATTGTAGAAAAATGTCATTGATTAGCAACGTTGTAAAAAATAATTGTACGTAGAATAATTGTTAAGGGATACAAAGATTTTTAGGAAGAACCTCACAACCGAAAACTTACTCTTCGATGACTTATTGCAATATGAGCGTAAGTAGTTGACAAGAGTCCCCACCAACTATTTATATATTACAATAAGTTGAAAATGTGCATATGACATACATTGTGTATATGAGAAAACACAAAATGATTTCTTGATGATGGCATTCCGTGTACGTATTCAACTGGGAAATTATTCACGATACCAACAATTTTTGAGTGGACTGTATGCCAGAATAGGTTACAAGTTTTGAAAAATGGATTAGTTCATAGCGATAGATTTCACCAAACAGTGATACCTTTCTTTTCCCACACAGCACAGAATAAGTTTTCTTATTTGCACAACATAGCACATTACAATATTACAATGTTTGCAGTAACGTATAAAATAAAAATAACATTTTGTTTGGATTATAGCATGATGTATGAATATAGTTTGGCATTCTACATCAGTCTATCTCATCATTATGTCAAGTTTTTGGACATCCATTGATGAGTGATTAGTGTTATATAAACCATAATTTCAAGCGTCTATATTATTCCGCATTCCAATTATGTCTGATCTATTAGAATTAATTTCATTATTTGAATATCTTGAATACGTTCATAGATCATTTTGTCAACTAAATTTTCTACACAACTGTAACTAATTTATTATAGTTACTGGTACTTTCAATATACTGTACCATCATCGAAAGAGTCCCACAAGTCAAGTTGATCACATATCTTCTCACGCATGATAAGCAGTTCCCACACAATAATAATGCATACATTAAGTTTAATGCTGTTGGTCAATTGCACTCCGCCACTTAAATTTTGCTAACTATTTGTATATCAAACTAAGCCGTTATGTGCAAATGTGCGATAAAGTTCGGGTGATATTTCGAATCAACGTTCAAGCGAATAATTTCTTCGTAGAACATTTGGTTAATTATTATGTGCCTGGTTGAAGCAAGAATAGTTTATTGGAATTTATGTTCAGTATTCGAGTAAAGCAGCAAACATCAATTGTATTTTAAACCAATAAAGATCTTAAATTTTGGTTTTTTTTTACTAGTTGTAGTAGTTGATATTCTTCCGTAATGCTTTTGTTTGCATCTCTGTGTAGAGAAAGTATGTTGAGATTTTCCCATGTGGCAACGGCTTATCGTAACATAAGCTTGAACATTATTGTCTAGTGCTACAATAACATTTGGAGAGTAAGTCCTTGTGTTTTGTGTACTGTTAATGCTAACGAATTTTGCAGTGGAAATTTGTGTGCGTAATTCTTTTTGTCCTGTTGCATAGAAGTAAGAAGTTTGGTTGGATATGCAGCAGTGGGCTATTTCCATTTTGAATACAAAAGGCTGAGTATTTGTCAGCGATAATTTCGACTGTCCCGTTACTTTTTGTTTAGGCACATTATTCTAGCCCCTTGTTATTATTGTATGCGTATTGTTCTGAGCTTAAAATCAGGTTGAATTATATGATTGGTTGCTGTACGCGGTAAAATCTACGGCATGAATCTTTTGGGCTGCTGCCGTGATTGATTTATACATAATTTGGGAGAGGGGCTATAATTTCGTTGATGGGCTGTTCACCCTTCGGATGTACCATAACGGTCAGCCTTAACCTGGGGAGCTGGCTACTTTCCCGATCGATAAATTTGGCTATAATTTGATTGTGGACATTCTGTTGTGTCTATAAGCAGCAGGGACTTGTGATAATATGATTATATCGGCGGATTACTGCTAGTCAGATATGTTAAACCCACTTTGAAGCTTCTCCAATTAACGGTACATCGTGCTCATCTTCAGTTTCAGGAATAAAATAAGTAAATTGAAGTCGTTGGGGTTGGGCATGAATGCCTAAGGGGTTAGACTCTTTTCTGAAATTGTTTACAATTTCCACCGTTTTGTTCAGCAATGTATAAAATTACTGAAGTGATAAGCGGGCATCTTGCAAAAAAGAGTAACAGAAGCAACAAATAAATATTCAAGTCGTCTGGGTGCCGCAAGTGGTTTAAATAGTATTTTGGAGACACTATACATCAATTACATATTCGCTACATATTGTGCATGAAAACTGCGTTTCGTCGTCATTGACGTCAGCGAAATTACGTATTACTAATCAATTGATTAACAATAAATCTTTGCTGAATATAAAATAGCCAGTATTGATTATTAATTATAAACTCGAAAGACAGTTATGTGTAATATATTATTGCACTTGTTAGATCGACTATTGGCTTGTTACTGGGCTTAGCATGTTACTAATCTATGTGACACAGTCAATATCACCCAAGGCAGGAACTCCAGGTTAATAGTAATAACACAATGATGACATGACATAGTCTTAGACATGACTACATTCGATTCTATCCTTTTGATGAGTTTATCAATAACCGATGGTGGAAGCAGCAAAATCGGGTATCACTGTTGATCATAAATTTGGGCAAAGACGGGTTCTTCAAAGACTTCGTAAACGGGTTTGTAATCATTCATGACGGAACTGCTGCGTGGTCTATGAAACTGTGGTTCTTACATGTGTGTTTCATGTTCTTAGCTTATCGTAGTGCAGATGACCGTCCCAACATAATTCGATTCCTCGGCATTTGTTATTGTGTTGGGAAAATAGGCATGAATATAATACTTTTCGACTTTTCAATAGATATTGGAGGAAGCTACTTGATGGTCTTCGATTATGCCGACAATGGTTCATTACGGGAATACTTATCGACGCCAGCTATTGAGCTAGATATTATGCCACCTGTCAACTGGGCTTGGATATCATTAACGGATTGAGATATATTCACAAAGCAGAAATCTTGCATAAAGATTTAGTAAGTGTATTACTCATTACGATTTTGATCTTTATTTAACATAGATTGTAATTGTGATATATTGTTTTCTTATGTTATCACAAGTCTTCGAAAAATGCATTGATTCATGGGAAAACGGTTAAGATCACGGATTTTGGGACATCTGAAAAAGTATTGCTACAAAAGACTAGCTTAAATCACCAAGGAACTCAAGCATACCTTGACCCTAGATGCTTCTTCTATGGATGGGAGATATCCAGTAGAGAATATCCATGTAGAGAATTCAACAGCATATCAGACATTCAGCTTTATAGAATGAATGGTGGCCGTCATGATTTAGTTCCAGGCACACCAGAGGAGTATAAAAACTTATTTACAGAATGCTGGGACAATGATTCAGAAAAACAACCAACCAGTGAAGAATGCTACCATAGATTACTAAATATAATAGAAAAACTGAACCAGTTACCAAAATTAAAATATGATTCTAGCCAAAATAACAAGAAGATTAAAGATCACTCTCTTACTAATGAGTTGTTAATATTATACAACAAGTTACTACTACAAATAGCTGATTACTGAACAAGAAAGTCCATTGACTATACAAAGGCTCATGCTAACTGTTACTGTGGACAATGTTTTTGGCTGATTGGATTCTTCTAATAGAAACAGAAGCAGATCTTGGGCAAGTTGTTCAATGGTATCAACAATTAGCAAAGGCAGGAAATGCCACTGCACAGCATTCTTCTTGGTATTTGCTATGAGAATGGGACAGGAGTGGAAAAGAATATTTGAAAAGTAGTTGAACTGTATCAGGAAGCAGCTGAACATGAGTCAGCTGCAGCACAATATAAGAGAGTGAAAAAGAATATTCAAAAAGCTGTTTAGCTGTATCAGAAAGCAGCTGAACAAGGATTTTCTTATGGCACAAAATAATTCAAAAATCAATTGAGCTGTATCAGAAAGCAGCTAAACAAGAACTTGCTAGGGCACAAAATAATATTGGTGATTGCTATAAGGATAGACTGGAATGAAGAAGAATGTTCAAAAAGCTGTTGAGCTGTATCAGAAAGCAGCTGAACAAGGACATGTCTGGGCAAAAACTAGGCTTGAGTTACTTAGAAATAAATAATTTTGTTGACTGATTAGAATTATTAAAATGTTTGAGAACAACATATTCTTGTATTTGCAGTATAGACTGTCCCATAACCACCAGATCGGATTTCATCAAATTCACTATTTATTTTTTTGTATAAAGTTGTCCAATAGTGGCTGTAGAACACAGAATAATAATAACAAATGAATTTTGAATTGTATTAATTATCAAATATTATTTGGTGTTCAATATCTCTAGTACTAGGTAGTGTGATGCGCCGCAATCAGTGACGTATTTTTTCCTCTATTTCTGGTTCCTCCGACGATGCCGCAGCAACATTTCAATCGGCAGTTACACCAGCGCTGCTGCGGAAATCAGGGTGCAAGTAGTACGGAAATTTATATTATGGTTGTACAGCACACTGCAGCAGCAAATTTATCGTATACCGGAGAGGTAGCAAAAAAATGGGAGGCAATCATTTCGTCGACAATTATTTCACCGATAATCATTTCATCGACAAATCTTCACCAACATTATTTCGAAGTTATCCTTTTTTGGTAGTTAATTGTCGGTGAAATGT